GTATGCATGTCTGTATGTCTATGTCTGTCTGTATGTCTGTCTGTATGCATGTCTGTCTGTTTATGTCTGTCTGTCTGTATGTCTGGCTGTATGTCTATGTCTGTCTGTCTGTCTATGTATGTATGTCTGTCTGTATGTATGTCTATCTATGTATGTATGTGTATGTGTATGTATGTCTGTATGTCTGTCTGTATGTATGTCTATGTATGTATGTATGTCATTATGTGTGTATGAATGTCAGTGTATGTATGTCTGCATGTCATTATGAATGTGTGTATGTATGGATGTCAGTGTCTGTATGAATTTATGTATGCCAGTATGAATGTATGTCTGTATGTCATTATGAATGTATGTCTGTGTATGTATGTGTGTATAGATGTCAGTGTCTGTATGCCAGTATGAATGTATCACTGCCTGTCTGTATGTCATTATGAATGTATGTCTGTGTATGTATGTGTGTATAGATGTCAGTGTCTGTATGCCAGTATGAATGTATCACTGTCTGTCTGTATGTCATTATGAATGTGTCTGTGTCTGTATGTCCTTATGCATGTGTGTCTGTATGTATGTTAGTATGTGTCTGTCACTATGTACGCCTGTGTGTCTGTATATGTGAGTATGTCTCAGTATGTGTGTGTCAGTATGTATGCCTATATGCGTATCGGTATGTGTGTCTGTTAGTATGTATCAGTGTGTGTGTGTGTGTGTGTGTGTATCTGTGTCCTTTTGTATCAGTGAATGTGTTTGTGTCTGTGTGTGTATTCCTGTGGGTGGGATTTGGAGGCGATCTCTGTGGGCGGTTTTGGAGGCGGGCCCCCAGGGGCCCAGACCCTGAGCTCAGTTAGGGGCCCCAAAATTTCTGGTGGTGGCCCTGCAAAAGCTGGCTTTCTGCTTAACTTTAAAAAGACTAAGACCATGGCAAACAGCAATCTTAACTCCTGGCAAATAGATGGGGAAGAAGTGTAGGCAGTGAAAGATTTAATTTTCCTGGGATCCAAGATCTCTTCAGATGGTGACTGTAGTCATGAAATGAAAAGAAATTTGCTTCTGGGGAGGAAAGCCATGGCAAGCTTGGCAAGCTGGTAAGAACTAAAGATATTACACTATCAACAAATGTCCGCCTTACGGTCAGAACTATGGTATTCCCAGTAGTAACATATGGATGTTAGAGCCAGATTATAAAGAAGGATGAGCGTCGTAGAATTGATGCCTTTGAACTGTGGTGTTGGCGAAAACTGCTTAGAATCCCTTGGATTGCAAGAAGATCCAATAAATCCATACTACAGGATATCAAGACAAACTGTTCACTGGAAGCTATAATCATGAAGCTGACGCTCAAATATTTTGGCCATATAATGAGAAGGCAGGATTCTCTAGAGAAGACTATGATGCTGGGAAAGATGGAAGGCACATGAAGAAGGGGACGACAGAAATGGAGATGGATAGATGAGGTCACTGAAGCCACGAACATGAAGTTGTCTGAGCTCAGAGGTGCAGTGACTGACAGATGTACCTGGCGTGCTATGGTCCATATGGTCACGGAGAGTCGGACACAACTGAACGACTAAACAACAACAACAAGAGACATGGGAAAAAGGTATGGACAAATACAAAATAGAGAGCTAAAGAGAAACATGAGGAAGATGAAAATATACATAGAAGAAGAGATAGAGAAAGGAAAGTGATGAAAAATAACATGGGGTGTGTGAGGGAAATAGGCAAGGATACTGTTACGGTTGCCTTCAGGCTAGCTAAAAGTTGGACCGTAGGAAGGATGCTCCTAGTACTCACCAAAGGACAATCAGCACCGTAGACATCATAAGTACTGCAGACTCCACAAACTGCCGCTGCTGGGCTGTGATCTCGCTGTCTGCTATTCACCCTGGACCTATGACCAGGCTCCAAGTTCCAGTGGGTGAACCTCTTCCTTCTGTAGAGCGAAGCAGGATCAGGAACAAGAGCTCTTACAAGAGCTCAGTAGCTAAGGAAGTATGCAGAGCATGGCAATCCCTGTAGTGATTATAGCTGTCCCCTACAAACACAAATCGAGGCTTCAAGTTAGAGGGTCAAGAAGATCTGTGTAATCAGCACCAAAGGGCTTTCTTTTATTCAGGTTTTTACACAAGGTTACCAGCCACATGGTCTGGTGGAACAGCCAATCAAACACATGATAATACAGTCAAACACTACCATTCATTCCAGTAAAATCCTCCCCTCTGCCTGTGATAGAATTATTGTACACAATGGGCTAATGTAATTATTACAGGCAGGAAAATACAGTTTTTATACAATTCTTATAACTTTAAAAGTATACATGTGATATTAATAAAAGTTACATATTCTAAATCAGCATACTCCAAATACAAACATACTCAAAATTCAGACAATTCCCTCCAGTGATTTAAAAAGTTAGGTGGTAGTCCTTTTTGACCGACCGCAAGCATGGCTTTCCTGCCCAAAACAGTTCCATAGATTTGGGCTGTGCGGTCGGTCTATTTTACACAGAAAAGTTACTCGAATGCACGAATGAGGGCCGTTCATGCAAATAGCCCAGTATAACATGGCGTTCGAATCGTAGAACGCACGTCGATTTCAGTCGAAGCGTCAAAGTTGCAGAGAAGGTAAGGGTCAGCGGTGTTCGTGACGTTTTGTGGCTGATTTCAGTTTCATGAATTTGACGGCACACACCGCTGACTGCGTTCGACTAAATAAAGATGGCCGCCGCCATGTGTTCGACTGTACGAACAGCGGCCACCGAGCGGTCGGCAATTAACTTGCGGTTTACCAGCCTGGGAGCTAAATTGCCTGCATACTTCCACTTGCGTGTGGTTCGACTGTTCGGTAATTGGTTTGGTAAGCCTCAATTACCAAACCATATGAGAAAAGGACATTCACAAAGTATTTTAAAGGTCTGAGGACACTGTCTTAAAGGGGCATTGTCACAAAAAGTCTCATATGCCCATAGACTGTTTTTAAAGGACCATACACCCCAGGGCTATAGTCATGAGGCAGGAGGCTGGCAATCAGGCTTCTCCATAAGCCCTGGGAACAAGGCAATTTGTCGCACAAAAAAACCCTGTTACAAAAGGCAGTTTGTAACAGATACCAAGAGAAGAGATACAGGAAAAGAGACATATTAGTGAGAGAGAGATGGAAAGAGACACTAGAATAGGTTTATGGGAAGTAACATGTGGATGGGTGGAAGACAGAGAAAAAATAATAGAAGAATACGAAAGAATAATAGGAGTAATATGGAAATAGAATAGAGAGACATGGTGGGTAGTAGAGTGGATAAAGAAAAAGAGGAAGGATGGCAGGTGTAGGATGGCTATTAAAATGGTTTTGGACCCCATTATACCTTAAGTTAGTCCTTAAGTTAGTGCTGGAGATATTGCCAGAAAAACAAAGTATATGTCACATTTATATAACATTCGATGGCAAACATTTTATCACTAAACAAAAGAGTATGTTGTTTCTGACATAAAGGTTAAACTGTATTTGTAGCAACTAGAAAGAAATGAAAAAGACAGTACTACGTGGATAACAGTGATATGTTCAAAATAAATGGATAATTAATGGAAAATGGATCCATCCTCAAATCTTGTCAGTACCCATTTCCCATGGTGACATGTTTTCACTACATGTAAAATTCATGGCCAATTTTAGAAACAGATGGTTTAGAAGAGAATAGAAGACGCAATGTTTTATGAGAATACTAAGCACATAACAGACTTCATTAGAAAAAAAATATGAGGATGTACTCATTCTGCTATTTATATGTAAAGCACAATGCGCTGAAGAATTTATACATTTTGTAAGGATATTCAGAAAAATCTGTGTTTTTTCCCCAGAGTAGAAAACTTTAAGTTTGAAGTTATAACCCATTTTGTCTTTTTTTTTAGTAAGACTTCTAACTATTCAAGTGATGTCAATAGGCTCTGTTTAAATACACAAAATGTGAAAAATATTTTTAGATTCAATATTCTGTGTTATCTTCAATGCAAAGCTCAGACCGAGGCAACTGTGAAAACTGCACAGAAAACACCATGGAATTATTTATAAAACAATAAAATGTGATGAAACGTGAAATGCAAAAAAATAATACATATATTAAAAATATAGTCAAGTTTCACAACAGCCATGATGCTGTAATTTCACTCCAAATTCACCTTGATAAAACTTTGGAATGCTAATTAGAATAGCAATGACAAAAATGATTCCAGAAAACACCTATCAATGATTCACACTAACTCACTAATAGAGTTGAGCGGACACCTGGATGTTCGGGTCCGGTGGGTTTGGCCGAACTTTGAAAAAAAGTCCGGGTTCAGGCTCGAACTTGACCCCAAACTTGACCCCGAACTCCATTGAAGTCAATGGGGACCTAAACTTTTGGGCACAAAAATGCCTCTAAAACCTCCTGGAAAGAACTAGAGAGCTGCAAAAGCAAGTAAAATGTGGATAGGGAAACCACTTAAAATAACATAAAAATTAAAAATACAGCTGAGCCATAAAATAGCACTGGATGGAATCTTTGATTTTCGCTTTGGAAGAACATAAATCAAAATCTAAAACATGGCTGTCAGGAGGATCACCAGAATTATCCATTTGAGAGAGGGTTGGAGTGCAGGGTATTCTCTTTCATTGTTCAAACTGAGCTCAACTCCTGATGCATGGAGAAAAGGCCTTCACAAGCCTCTGCTATTGTCTACATAGTTTATACTATGTGACCCATAGGTTGACAAGGCGGTGACCGTGGTGGTGTAGGTGGAAGCGGCGGTGGAGGTGGAGGAGGAGGTAGCCAACACTGTTTATATATATATATTTTTATTTTAATTGGGCTGGCCCACAAAATATTGGGACATACGAAACAAAGAAACAATTGCAGCCTGCGGTGCATTTCTTGCAGTTCTGATGCATGGAGAAATGCTCAACTCCTGATGCATGGAGAAAAGGCCTTCACAAGCCTCTGCTAATGTGTACATAGTTTATACTAAATGACCCCTAGGTTGAGGAGGCGGTGACTGTGGCAGTGGAGGAGGAGGATGAGGTAGCCAACACTGTTCTTTTTATATATAGATATATATTTTAATTGGGGTAGCCCCCAAAATATTGGGACCTATAAAAAAAGACAACTCTGTTCCGCAGAGTAGCTGTTGACATTATAATTGTGCAGGCACTTTGTTGACTCTAGAGAACCTCGGGCCAATCGCACATCCCCGTGGCGGCGACTTTGCATGCGGATGTCATCCATATCAACTTTCGATGCCAGTTTCTGCGCCTACCATGGTGACCACGGGTAACGGGGAATCAGGGTTCCATTCCGTACAGGGACCCTTAGAAACGGCTACCACATGCAAGGAAGGCAGCAGGCGTGCAAATGACCCACTCCTGACGCGGGAAGGTAGTGACGACAAATAACAATACAGGACTCTTTAGAGGCCCTGTAATTGTAATGAGTCCACTTGAAATCCTTTAACTCTGATCAATTGGAGGGAAGTCTGGTGCAGAGCCACTGACCAGTGCGTGCTGCAGCTGAAACTCCAATATCGCCTGCTGCTGCTCGCACAGTCTCGTGAGGCGGTAAGCGGGAAGGCCGAAGTTATGACAGGCAAGCAACAGCAGGGTGACAATGCCAAAAGCACGCACAGCTGCTACAGTGAATCAGGTCACATCCTGTTCCAAGTTGCGGATCAGTCGGGTGATGGCTTCAGGTATCAAGTACTGTTTTTACTGAAGCTGCATCAGGGTCCTGGTATGTGGCCGCACAAATGATGGTGCTCAACACCGCGTGCGGTTACCCTGCACCAGACCCTGCTAATCCATTCCACACTTTGACTCCTAACTTCAACATCAGGCATACTGGGTCCCGGTCGTCCGACTGCCGCCCAGACAGTGTCTGGGTCCTGGTCACCGGACTGCCCATGAGACTGTGAAACTACGAATGGATCGTTATATCTGGTATGAACCCAAACTTTGCAGTTCAGGTTCGCTCAACTCTAATATGGATCCTTTGATCGCTATATGTATTACTTGGATAACTGGTAATGCTCAAGCTAATGCATGCTGACAAGCGCTAGGGGATGGCCGCTCTGCTTTTGCACCCTGCTCCCTCTTATGCTGTGCTGGTGCCTCTGTGCGACCAGCGCCTCTTCCTCCAAACTGCACACGTCACTCGCATGACCTTGATTCAATGTGGGGTCTAGGACCTCATCATCCTCACATCATCTTCCACCCATGCACACTGCAGAAAGCCACAGCAGTTGGCACCTGTTTTTTTCCAGCATGTAAAGTCTGCAAAGGACATATGGAAATTGTTTTAGAATTGTATCCAGGCAACAGTTTTCCCTATAAACTGACCTCTCAGTTTGACTTGTGAGGGTATTGCTCCAGAATTACAATATTGTTTAAGTACCTCTTAGCTATTGATAACTGGTTTAAATATAGCAGCTTGTTATCTGGTAGTTTCTAGTGTAGAAAATATCAATCTGTTTTCTTTCACTTAGATCTGTGTAACAAGTGTTGTAGGTGTGAAACAATATTACAAGTGACCGATGTAGTAAATTTGAATCAAAGTTACGCTTCGATTTGACTCTCAGATATGAAGTGAACACCATAAATATACTATTTAGCACCAAAAAAAAAAAAATTACTTTTTAAAACTGCAATGTAAGCAGCAGATTAGCAGCAAAACAATTAGAATTTTTACAAATGCGCAGTAAGCGCACTATTAGACGCTTCTATTTGACTCTCAGATATGAAGTGCACCGCAGACCCCAAAATGTACTATTTAGCAGATTAGCACCCAGAAAATTAGAATTTTTATAACTGCGCTGTAAGCACACTATTAGACGCTTCTGTTTGACTCTCAGATATGAAGTGCACCCCACTAAAATACTATTTAGCAGTTTAGCACCAAAATAATTTTAAGTTTAAAACTGCAATGTGACAGCAGTATTTGATGCTTCTATTTGACTCTCAGATATGAAGTGCACCCCACTAATGTACTTTTTAGCACCCAAAAAAATTTACGTTTTAAAACTGCAATGTGACAACAGTATTTGACGATTCTATTTGACTTTCAGATATGAAGTGCACCCCACTAATGTACTATCCCACTAATGTACTATTTAGCACCATAAAAAATGGGCTTTTTAAAACTTCGATGTAACCGCGGTATTTGAAGCTTCTATTTGACTCTCAGATATTAAGTGCACCCCACCCCACTAATGTACTAGTTTGCAGAAGTCTTTCCTAAGCTGTCCCTAGCAGCGGTAGCATCCTCTCCCTACACTAATAAGACCTCATTAGCGTGCGGTGCTACGCGACTCCAGCTTATATATAGAAGCTGGGTCACATTAGTAGGCATGGCTGTGATGGCTTCTAAGGGCACACGAGTCAAACGCTTGTTGATTTGCTGCCCTGCAGCCTTTCAAAACGCGCCATTAAATCGCCGAACACTGAACTCCACCGAACTCCAACCCGAACATACAGTGATATGTCCGTGCTCAGGTCCGGGGTCCAAAAAACCTAATGTTCGGTACGAACCCGAACTTTACAGTCCAACTCAACTCTACTCACTAATACTCCTAGGGACTCTCTGAGTCGTTGAGTCCCAGTACTCTCTAAGCCAAACAAAGGCACTTTTATTTATAAGATTACTGTGAGCTGTGTATAAGCTTTATGAGCTGTGTATAAAATAAAATGATTTATGTGTTTGCATGTTATGTGCAAAAGTATCTGTAATTTACAACAAGGGACCCAATATCCTGTACTGTGTATATCCTGTGTATATCCTGCCTAACTTACTCACCTTCTTTATCATTTCCTGTCTCCTGTCTCTCTACACTTATTAAAGGATTAAAGGAACACTCAAAACATCATAATGGTTATGGTGTCAGGAGTGCCCTGGCACCATCCCATTGTAAGCAGTCAAACTCTTGGGTAACTGAAAGCCAGTCACAAAATAGATGTTAATGACTATCGGCGATGCAAGCATAGCTTATTGGCGGAAAGGCGATCACCCAATGATCTTGGCTAATAAACCAACCTTGTACAAGAAAGTTTAGCTCAAGAAAACTAATGAAAGCTCAGGGCAAGAATGTCCAGATCTCAATGAAAGAAGTTACTGGGGTCAGTTAGGGATGTGCATGGGCAAATAATTTGGTTCGGTTCGGCACTTCCGAAATTCGTGACTTCGGCAATTTGGTTCGGTTCGGGCTTCCGAAATTTGGGACTTCAGCAATTCGTCACTTTGGAAATTTGAGACTTCAACCAATGAGAACCAATGAATGTAGAGAGTGCCAAACCGAACCCTTAGGGTTAGGGGTAGGGTTAGGTGTAGGGTTAGAGGAAGATTGGGGTAATGGTTAGGGTTAGGGGTAGGGTTAGAGCTAGGTTGATGGTTAGGGTTAGATTCCTGTCATCATTACCTCCTTCTCCTGTTTTGCCACTTTTCAGAAATCCGAAGCACTTTGGCAGTTCCGAAATTCGTCACTTCGGCAATTCGGGACTTCAGCAATTCGGTTCGGCACCTCTTTGGTTCGGTTCGGCACTTTAACAATTTGGACATTCGGAAGCATCCAAAATGTCCGAATTGCCGAAATTCATCCGAATTTAAATTCGGACCAAAATGAATTGCACATGTCTAGTGTCAGTGGATTCTAGGTAAATTTTCAAATGGTTTAATTCATATATCATATTTAAATAGGAGAATGTTAAATTTACTGTTCCCTAATTTGCTGTTAATCTGTGTATGTTTTCTTTAAGGTTAACCAACTGTTATATGTTCTAATTTGAAGTTTAAATGAATTATATTTATTTAATTGGTGGGCATATTAGCTAAGTGTTTGTAGCTGTCATTTCCATAAAACTAATAATTATCAGATTGTTGTTTTTAGGGTCAATGACAAATCTGTTAAATTGCATGTTTACCTCTACCAAAGAAGTTAAATGGAATAGTACAATTTTAAGAAATCAGAGGCAAACAAAATAACAAAATAAGTAAATCAATATAACTGAAGTTTTTACCACCAGCACCTTAATCTCCCAGTCAAGTCACTGAGAGTATGAAGTGCTATATACTATATCCATGTCTTCAAATCCCGAAACATTCTTTTATACACTCTGGTTTGTAATTTCAAATTCCCAGTAAACTCATCCATATTGATAAGTAAGTACGGAGCTAAGAAATATTCTAAATAATTTTGTTTGGTATTCATTTAGGCAGAAATGTTTATTTTGTCAATTAAAATGAAAGCCCCCTATGGCTTATGATTAGAAAATAATACTTATTTAGCTTACAAAAAAGTTAGAAATTAATGATAAAATAGAAGACGTTAATTTTCTTTTAATTGGCATTATCCATCAAGCAAATCATTATTGCTTTTCTTTTAATAATTTGATTTAAAACAAGTTATTTTAATGAGATGTGAAATAATTATATAAATACTTAATGAGAATTAAATGACAACTCAAGATTTTGTGTTCTTATTACTTTTAAGACTGAAAGACAAAGATAATATTTTTATGCACAGCTGCTTCTTTGAAACCTCATTGGGATGCTATTCCTTAGTCAGCCTATTACAGTGAATAACTTAATTCTGAAAAAAAAGTACTTATTTATTCCCTCATAAAAAAAAAACGCTGTGAAATGTGCAGCTATTTAATATAAACAAAAAAGGCTCGATTATGCATTTACAATATATACACACACAAAGATGACATAATTTTAATAACATTATTATTGTTTTTGTATATTTTTTTCAACAATATAGTAGGCAGATATTTAAGCTATTAACTATGTCAGTATTCATATTAATGTTACCTACTATTTTAGCCCAGGACATATATACTTTTAAACACACTTAGATCATTTAAATTAAATTTAAAATATTAAAAAGGTAAAAAAAAACGTTATTCAGAGTTGAAGTTGCTGTATTTGCAATAAACACCCATGCTTCCAGTTAGCACTTCTTAGCTACAGAAGTGATCAACCAGAAGCAGATTATCTAATAACTTCTTAATGCTCTTTCCCAAGTGTGACCTTACCCCATAAATTGCTTTCTTTGTCGCCATCATTGTTGTTCACTTTTAAAAGTTGTTCCCAAAAATGTTAGCAGTGCTTGCTAGTAAGATTAATATATTGTGCTACAAGAAAACAAAAAACCTGCAGTTTAGATGGGAGGGACATAAAGGGTTTTTTACTTCATAAATGCAGCTACAACAGCCACTAAGAGGGAAACATTGGACAAAGTGGGACGGTCAAGGTAAGTTAAGATGCTGAAAATATATATTTTTTTCCAAATAACATTTAAAATGCAAAAATCTAGCAATTTATTTACGTCTTGCTATACAATGCATGTTCTT